ATTCAAGGTCACAGGGGTCAAATATGTTAAAAACTTTAAACAACTTCTTCTGAATAACCAAAATGCCCAGGGTGATGATATTTAGTCAGTAGCATACTAGGATCAAGGGCTACCAAGTTTGTATAAATGTATGACCTTGAATCATATTCAAGGTCACAAGGAGCAAATATGTTCAAAATATTTCAACAACTTGTTCTGAATAACCAAAAGGCTCAGGATGTTGATATTTAGTCAGTAGCATATGCTGGGATCAAGGACTACTTTGTTTGTTCAAGTGAATGACTTTGACTTATATTCAAGGTCACAGGGGTCAAATTTGTTTAAAATCTTTAAACAACTTCTTCTGAATAACCATGGGTCCCAGGATATTTTTACTTTGCAAGTTGCATCCTGAGATGAAAGGCTATACAATGTGTTCAACATAATGACTTTGTTCGACTTTTAATCATAAATACTGATATTTTGCCTGTAGCTTGATTTTAGATCACTTTTAAGGTTACAAGTGCGAGTTTTATACCAGGTGAGCGATGCAGGCCCATTGGGCCTCTTGTTATAACCATAAATTGGATATTTTTATGTCTTTACCTGAACCCTGATTAATCAGCTACCTGTCTTAAGCAGCCAACATCATGGTCTCGTGTAGGTGGCCACTGAACACAGGTTTGACTATTATTAAATATCCCAGATGAACTCTTGCCCAATTTGTTTTACAGCAACAGAGGATATTTCACCAAGCAAACATTATTTGTAGAATATTGTATAGGCAGTGTTTTACTATCAAAATTGCAGGTTATAAATTAGTTCCCACAGATACAACCAGAGGGAACTTTAGATTTGTACTCTGTCAATCAGTCGGTGTGTCACTTTGTTTGGTACATGTATTTATATTTCATAAACTATGTTACCTACAATTGCCACCTTGTTATATTTGAGTACCTCTTGGGTTAGCAAAGTGTCATGTACTGTAATTGGGTCTTGTACCCCACTTAACACAGAGTAGTGGTTAATTGGTCAGTATTTGTCATTTTGACCAAGGCATCAAATTTCATATCCTCTGTTAACTGCAATTGCTATTTTTTATGCGAGTACCATTTCTGATGATAGAGTGTTGTGTACAGAAATTGGGTTTCTTGCCAATGTAAGCTCCACATCTATCATGTGGTATATTTCATATTCAGATAAAGTAACACCAAGCTATAATGCCCCTCATTTAATACCTTTTTTTCAAGTTTTCTTTTTTCTTAACAATTATTTTTCATGTTTCCTCTATAAATATGTATCATCAAACCCCTTTGTAATGCCAAAATTATAACAAATGATGACAGAATAAAAAGGTTTTAATTTATGTAGATTCAGTCTTTGATAAATGTTTATTAGTCCTCTACCAATTCTTGGGATGGCAGAAGTCAGAATACAAAAAAGTAGGTCGCTGTGACCTATGCATTGACCTTAACTTTCCTAAGTTTGTCCAGGGTGTATCTTCTATAATATTTCACATGGAGTAACCAGATTTGGTCTGCAACTACATCTCTGGATGGTGGAATGCATAGTACAAGAAGTAGGTAACTGTGACCTATGATTTGACATTAACCTTTGAAAAAGTTTTTTTGGGGCATATCTTCAATAATATTTCAACTAGAATATTAGATTCGGTCTAAAGGTACCTTTCTGGATGGCAGAGGGCAGTGTACAAGAGGTAGAAGTATTAGGTCACTATGACCAATGTCTCTACGTATACCTTACCCTTGGAAAAAATATCTGGAAAATATATTTTCGATACTTTTTTTCCAGGATAAACCAAATATTGTAGGCAGGTATATCTTATGGTGGCTGAGGGCAATTTACACCAAAAAAAGTAGGTCATATGATATATGCTTTGAACTCTGACCAATGTCATTGAAGAAGTTGATTCAAAGCTTATCTTCAATAAAGTTTCTCCAGGAGTAGCCAAATTTTGTAAAATGAGGTGTATCCCGAGATGACAGAATTTATTGTACCTGTACCAAATGTAAGTCCCTGTGATCTTTATTATGATCTGTGACCACAATCAGTGAATGAATTTACGTTATTCTGTATCATGCTACTTTGTATATGGTAGGTTGATCCTGAGATAGGTGTACTACGTGAGGACTATGGATTGCCTTACAATACTTAACTTTGCCTTGTTATTCTATAACAGGCAGTACCTCAATAATTGTTGACCCTGAGATCATGTGTAGTGTTTATGTCTGTAGTTTTGAAGTGGTGCAAGATGTACACAAACCGTCTCCAGTGTGCATATTTAAATTAAATATATTTTATCTTTATATGTTTAGATGAAGCGATACAAGACATACACGTACCTACTCCAGTCCAGGATGAGTGTATACCCGGAGCTGGAGCCTTCCCTGGTGGAGACTGTCATTGGGGAGGATGAGGAGAATGGACAGGCAGATGAGGTCAAAGTCATACAAAAACGACCGGTGCAGCGATCCCTGTCTGATAGGTACAGTTACCGTGCCGCTATCTATCAAAACCAACACATAGAGTATGACATTATCTGAGAGCTTGTACTGTGAGAACAAGGAAAGTGCAATAAGTATTCATCAATGTGAAAATGGAAAGAAATTGATTTGTGATCATTGATGAAAGCAGAAAAATTGAAATATTGAGTGCTTTGTTGTGAGGAAGGTTTTATATGAATGAACTTTTGTTTGATATATCTGAATATGACATGTATACTAATGGCGCTGGTACATGTTGGGATCTACTGGTACTTCTTTACACTAACTATACATATATATATGGATTAGATTAGCAACAAATTATCCAATATTATCACATTTATCACAATGCATGCTGATTTGCTGGTAGAAAACACTGCATGTTTGTAAAGCTAGAACATCCACATATGCTAGCCGCTCCATCATCAGTCTCACACGGTCCACATGCCAAACAAACACAGACCTGATTAGGTGTTCTGTATATTGACTACTAATCATGTATAAATAAGCATTACTGAACAGATTTCCCCTAAATTCGTGGATTTTAAATATATATTTTACAGGTCATTGTTGATCGAGTACGTACCAATCGGGCAACACAAATTGAATCTGTAATTATGTTTCCTCACATGAATGAATGCCTAGAAATTATATGTGCTGGTTGATGCTACCTTTGATGAATTTTAATTAATTTCTGGTTAATTGTAGCCTGGTCATTGTGTTTACTTTTTTCAACCTCACCTAATTTTTAGGAGGTTGATTGTAATAGCAGACTTTAGAAATCCATCAACTTACATTACCTTAGGTAAAAAACACAATGTATTCGCAGGATTTAGGTGTACTGATAACATTACCTTAGGTAAAAAAACAATGTATTCGCAGGATTTAGGTGTACTGATAACATTACCTTTGGTAAAAAACACAATGTATTCGCAGGATTTAGGTGTACTGATAACATTACCTTTGGTAAAAAAACACAATGTATTCGCAGGAATTAGGTGTACTGATAACATTATTAATAAATTACAGTTCTACAGTGCTATTTCATACAAACTTTGTGATATAGACAATAGCTTTATTAGATGTGATGTATCAAGTTTGCAATGAAAACATATAATAAGTTATAAAATATCTTCACCTAAGTTACCTGTTGACATGTTTGATTCTTCATATCATTTTTTACCTCTGTGAGGTTTTTAATCAATTTTTAATTTCTTCCAAATGTCTGGTGCCCTTGCACTATAAGAAACAATCTGTCATTTTATAACATAATCAATAACATACACTTCTTGTTTAAACTATATTTGTATAATACATTACCGTTTTTTTTTTGTTTTCAAAAGATTGTTGTACTTGTACTATAAGTTAAAAGCTTTGATCTATAAAGCAATTTGTTTGTTTTGTTTGAATTTTATGCAATTTTTACTGCTTTAATTATTGACTAAGAGGTTGAAGGTATTGATTTTAATCTGCTTGAATTCTCTTTACTTTATCTATGATTTCCTGTCTTAAAAAGATTGTGCCATTAGCTTTATCATAACAAGATACAGGGTAGTCACCATTCAAACATGTACACATATTTACTGTAATACTTTCCACATTTAATCAGATAAAAACAGAAGGAGGCAGAAATTCTGTATATATTGAACATATATAAATATATATCTCATGCAAAACATCTAGTCAGAATTTGTGAGGGGTCTGGTGTCTCTAGTTGTCATGCTCATAGTTGTCCAAGATCTTGTCATTCATATATGAGTGACTCTTGTAATTTTTAAGTTCTTGAAATGAAATTGCGAATCAAAGTAGGTAGATGAAGGGGAAAATGACTATTGAAGACAGAATCATCCATATGTACATAATACATTTTTGTTTTTGTCAGGAGAGAGGGTATGTTGGCGGTTACGTACATGTACATTATATTTTAATGTCTATATTTGCCAGGAGGAGATTTGTTGATGGCTGGTACCATATACATTGTATTTTGTTTTTATATTTGCCAGGGGAGAGGATATGTTGATGGTTGGTACCCTTGTCTGAGACATGGTATGAGAAAGGTTTCATTACAAGAACTTTATGCATTGGTGTGATATCCTCTGCATTTTCATAAGTTTTTGCAAAAACAATCTAGAACAGATGTGCTTGACTTTGCCAAAACTGCCTTTTTGTGCATTTTGTTTTCATGAAATGATGGAAATAAGCACATTGATTTGATATTCTCATTTTCTGTATGTACAGTATTGCACTCTATACATATACACAATATATATTATGTATATACTTTGCCAGTTAAATACACACTAACTACAACTAATATTGACCCTACATCAGAACTCCACAGGCACAATCTCACATCCTTACTCTTCAGCGGCAACATCACTGAGATGTGACCTCACATTTGTACTCCACAGGGACAATGTCACTGAGATGTGACCTCACATTGGTACTCTACAGGGACAATGTCACTGAGATGTGACCTCACATTGGTACTCCACAGGGACAATGTCACTGAGATGTGACCTCACATTGGTAATCTACAGGGACAATGTCACTGAGATGTGACCTCACATTGGTAATCTACAGGGACAATGTCACTCAGATGTGACCACACATTGGTACTCCACAGGGACAATGTCCCTGAGATGTGACCTCACATTGGTAATCTACAGGAACAATGTCACTGAGATGTGACCTCAGATTGGTACTCTACAGGGACAGTGTCACTGAGATGTGACCACACATTTGAACTCCACAGGGACAATGTCACTGAGATGTTACCTCACATTGGTACTCTACAGGGAAAATGTCACTGCGATGTGACCTCACATTGGTACTCTACTGGGACAATGTCACTGAGATGTGACCTCACATTTGTACTCCACAGGGACAATGTCACTGAGATGTGACCTCACATTGGTACTCTACAGGGACAATGTCACTGAGATGTGACCTCATATTGGTACTCCACAGGGACAATGTCACCGAGATGTGACCTCACATTGGTACTCTACAGGGACAATGTCACTGAGATGTGACCTCACACAGGTGTCATTGAACATTGAATGTCACTGAGATAGAATATATATGGCGGTCACCACTGCATCAATCCTGTATTATATTGCAGTAGATGTCTCACAGCATGACTGTCTCCTACCTTATTGCCATTAACTTATTGTAAACCCTGCAGACTATATCTCACCGCACCTCGTAACAACTGTGTGAGTTCATTCCTACACAACAGATTTTTGTTGATTGACTTTTGTGTACTAGTATTAATTAATGGTTAAACTATAGTTCCTTAATTATTCTATAATTTATGGTACAAATTGAATTATTAAATGATTTGACAGTTCTCACTCAGCTAATTTTATGTAAATGAAAAGGTTGCTGGTGATTACAGCTTATAACATGGTGTGTTGGTGCCATGAATTGTCACAAATCAGCATGGAAGGATCTCGGTAGAATGTCTTGTGCTTTGAATGACTGCAGTTTTAATTTTATAATTGAAAATGTAATCTATTCATTTACAACATAAGTAAATGATGCCTGTTTTGTGAGAGTAGGTCACTTCATGGATTAGTGATTAAATAGATAAGTGTGATCACTCATTAGCTGTTAGGAGTTTGTATATCACTATTTTGCATTGTTAATCCTACAAGCATGGCTTAGCGCTCATATATTTCAATTACTCGTAGATTTGAGCATGTTTAGCTCTGAATTGCATTGTACTGTTCTGTAGTGATCTGAAGTTCATACAAAGCTTGTTTTGGGAATATTTCTCATGATATCTATTTATATTGTTTGCAATATGTTATAAAAGCTGTTTTGTATTTTACAACAGGTACACATGAGTAGTCAGTTGTTCAGTACACCTGTAGTAGGCCAGATAAGTTGGCATATTTTGAGTACAGATTAGTTTGGTTAAATCTATAAGATTGTTTGTGTTTTCCTCAATTCTTTCAGCTCAGATTATAATAATCGGGGAGTGTTCTTTCCTTTTTCTTAACATTTCGGCAAGTTTTGGAGGAACACACATTTTTACCTTTAATTGAGATTTCTGTTATGCAACCTCAGAAGTTTTCCTTAAATTTTGATTACCTGGCTGATTCAGTGATATTTACACCAAATTTTATTGCTAAAATGAAAAGAAAATTTATTATGAAATAGCAAATAATTCTCAGAATCACTCGGTCCATGTTTTATTCAAACTGTTAATATAATAACAGTTGAGTACTTTCTTGATTATTGAGTGTAGTGTAAATTGATACCTTACAGATTTAAAAAAAGTGTTGGCTACAATAACAGTAGGAGTGATAATTTTCTTTTTATCAATGGTGATTATGATATAGAGGATAGCCTCTAAATTACCTTAGGTAAAAAACACAATGTATTCGCAGGATTTAGGTGTACTGATAACATTACCTTAGGTAAAAAACACAATGTATTCGCAGGATTTAGGTGTACTGATAACATTACCTTAGGTAAAAAACACAATGTATTCGCAGGATTTAGGTGTACTGATAACATTACCTTAGGTAAAAAAC